GTCTCTTGAAAAGGCTAACAAGCAAAATGCTCTACTTCAGAAAGAACTACTTGGGACTAAAACAAAACTAAACGAGCAGACGGAAAGGATCGACTCGTTGATTGAATCGCTTGATAACCTCGAGCAATATTCGAGAAAAAATTCCCTCGAAATACATGGTATCCCGGAAAATATTTACACCTCATCGGAAAAAGTTGTTCTCAAGGTAGCTGAGGCTGTTAATGTCCCTGTTGCTGTGGAGGACATCGAAATCTCTCACAAGCTAAGACGACGAAATGGTATGAAGCCTATAATCATAAAATTTTGTAGCCATAAAGTTAAGTCTCGGCTATATAAAGAGGGAACGAAATTGAAGTCAGTAAAGATATCAGATTTATATCCCAGTTATGCCTCAGCAGCAACAAAGCAAAACCGTATATTTATCAACGAAAACCTCACACCTTATAGGGCAGACTTAGTAAGACAAGCGAATGATAAGAAGGCTGATGGACTTTTATCAAGTGTTTGGACACTAGACGGAAAGGTCTTTGTTAAAACTTCACCATCAGGTAATCCTGTTAGAATTTACTCTGAAGATGATCTTGATGAATTATAAATGCTTAACAAACATCCATGCAATAATTGCGGGAGGTCGATTTCGCCATAGGCTTAGATTGTACGAAGGTTAGCCTCTTAAGCGTATTTTTCTTAAAAAACTTTTGTACTTTATTAGTTTTTGTTGTAAAGTTAGGTTTTTAATTTTGCTTTTTCTTATTAATTTATTCTGTTGCTTTTTCTTTGTTTGTTTTCTTTTTCTTGATTAATTCGTTGCTGTTGAGTTTAGTTAACGTAACCTAACATTAGCATAACTATTGTGCATTTAAGGTGATAATACAGTATGACACTTATCAAATTCCTATCACTGAATGTAAGGGGATTACGCAATCATGTCAAACGAAGGGCATTATTTTCGTATCTAAAGAATCAAAAAGCTGATTTCTATTGTCTCCAGGAAACATTCTCACTGAAAGGAGACGAAGTCTCTTGGGCTACAGAATGGGGTGGGAAAGTATTTTTCTCACACGGTACAGAACACTCTAAAGGTACTTGCATATTGCAGAGACCAAATTCTTTGTTTTCATCTAGCGGTAATTATCTATCCCACAAGAATTCAGTAATAAATATAACATCAAGGTTAATTTTCTGCAATACTACCAAATCATTACAGCCATTCCAGCGTCTCTCAAAAGTTACGCCTTCACTCATTTAGATCTTGGAAAACTGAACTCGAATTCTGAAGATGTCGACTTCCAGATATCTAAAGATGTTAGTTTAAACTTAAAGAAAACTTCGTGCAAGCAGTTTTACAAATTGTTTACAGAGAACATTAGTATTGAACCTACTGCGGTTACAACATGGCGAAAACATTGTACTGTGGTCGCTGACAAGTGGGAGCAATGCATTGAAAACAATTATAAAATCACTCGAGATAAATAAGCTAAGACCATTTTATTTTAAATTGTTACACAGAATACTAGTTACTAACAAGGAACTGACACGGTTTGGGATAACTGATTGTACTATGTGTGTTATGTGTGGCGAAAACGATTCTATAGAACATACTTTCTTTGAATGTCGCTCTTTTCTGAAATTGTGTGACGAATCCCTTCAGTGGTTCAATATATCTCACAAAACCAATATTAAACTCACGCCGCTTCAAGTTTTTCTCAATCCAATGACAAAACATTTTGGGCATGTTGTCATTAACAGAGTTTCTCGCTATTTGTTTCTGGCGGTCTCCTTGGGTAGATTTCGAAAATTCGCAATGTTTTAGAATGATGAACTTTTCCTTCTAGATTAGATAGAATGCTACCTGTGGATCAGGCTCGTGCAGTGTCTTTCTGTAGTCTGGAAATATTATTTCAAGAAAGTTGAGTTTCAGTTAAGTTTTACATTATATGAAATTCAGAAAAATGCCTATGGTACATGTGGTACATAAGGTGCTTAAGTAAGCACTTTTGGTTTACTTCCTTAAATGGACTAAGGCCGGGTTGATTTTTACGGGTGACCAGGCCGTGACGTCACCAAATGCACATTCGCTCGTAACTATGGCATTCTCTAAATAATACGCTGACGTAATTCATGAAAATTTAGTTAGTTTGGCCATGCAGAAGGCCTGAAAGTTAACTACGCTCTTAGGATCTATCTGCAAACGATAAGATAACTTCACAGTTTTATATTCGAGTAATCGAGATCGCTTGCTGTGATTCAAAGTTGCAATAGGCACGCAATAAGTTCGAACGTAAGCAAGCCAAGCGACGGGAATGTCTGCCACACGAACGTCTCGTACAAAGTAAAAAGCATGCCGGAAAAGAAAGCTCTGCTCGCAGGGTACTTGATCCCATTTTACGATCTCGAAAACCGTGCAACAAAGAAGCACAATTCCTAACTGTGCGGGAACGAAGGAATTAAAAGCGATGAATATGTTAAAGCAACGCAGGGATAGCTTTCAATTTGGAGGAAAATATGAGCTTAATCTGAAGCTTACAGTATTTTTTTACAGCCGGTTTTCTCAGAAATTTGGAAGTATAAATCCAGGGATTAAATCTGTCAAAAATATTTGTAATTTGAAACGGGTTTGGATCACACCCAAGAGTTTGATTAACACTTAGGGAAAATCAGGCAACTTACATATACTAAGGAAGCTGGCTGAAGGGTCAACGCGTCGGACCAGTAATCGGTGGTCCCGGGTTTATATTATGCAATCGATTACGTAACCCCTTTTTATACTCGGTCGTTACGAGTTCAAATCCTCAGCTGTTGCTTGTAAGAGGGTCTCATTGGGGTTAACCGTCAGCCGTCCATCAAACGGCCAAAAATTAACCGTCAACCGTCAAATTAAAAAGCTTATTTTTTACCGTGAACTGTCAAACATGCAGATTAATATTAAACGTCAAAAAGTTTCAAAGTATTTTCAGTCTCACTATTTCCGCTGATCTCCACGGAATGCCGGCTCCTAGAAAATTTGGAGATTGCAAAAACCAGTTCCCATGTTCGTAAAAACACTCTTCCTAGACATTACAATAGGTTACAACCTGCTTATATCTGAAAATATTTCGACTGTTTTATAAATGAAAGGCCAAGACAACCTTCAAAACACATCACTTAACTGATTAAATCACACATGCAGAAGTTAATATTTACATCAACTGTTGTTAATTTCAACTGAACAACCATCAACTGTCAAAAGCTACAAAATTTAACTGTCAGCCGTCAGCCCCAAATAGTGGTCGCGGTCGCTCACAGGAAGTGGTCTTTTACAACTGAGAGGTTCCAACTGTAAGCCTTAAACTGTGGTGTTTTGGATTCGTGGTCGCTTACCAGGGGTGGTTGCACATAGAGGTTCTACTGCAGCTGAAATGATGCGGTGGNCCTGCTTATATCTGAAAATATTTCGACTGTTTTATAAATGAAAGGCCAAGACAACCTTCAAAACACATCACTTAACTGATTAAATCACACATGCAGAAGTTAATATTTACATCAACTGTTGTTAATTTCAACTGAACAACCATCAACTGTCAAAAGCTACAAAATTTAACTGTCAGCCGTCAGCCCCAAATAGTGGTCGCGGTCGCTCACAGGAAGTGGTCTTTTACAACTGAGAGGTTCCAACTGTAAGCCTTAAACTGTGGTGTTTTGGATTCGTGGTCGCTTACCAGGGGTGGTTGCACATAGAGGTTCTACTGCAGCTGAAATGATGCGGTGGAAAATATTAGTAACTGAAAATAACCCGTGACTCTTTAAAAAATAAATTGCAGAGTACTTGTAGTCTGGTGGATCGAGATAAAGTGCCAACCTGTATCAAAATAAGGGTTGAGGCGGGGTTGAAGGATAGGCTGCGGCAAACCATAGATCACGTAATGGCTACAAGCGGTGAAAAATTACAACTACGAAAACGGCTCTTACGTTTAATAGTCTCTAACAATCTCAATTGCCTTCAATCATCGCTTACTCGATTCGAACTAATTAAGTGTACGAATTACGTAGTCGAGAGGGTCTATATTTATTCATTTTATTACAACTTGTGAATGAATAAAAAAGATATAAGTGTAACCATGAATAAAAGATGCCTCGCAGTCTTGATGTACAAGTTATAACCCCGTGGTTTTCAGTCTGATCGCTCTGAATCTGAGAAACTGTTTAAGTAACACTGGAGTAGGGTTTTATCTAAAGCTCGGTTAGATATTGCAAAAAGAGCAATGCAGCGCTAGGGAAACTGACTGAGCTAGGTTTTGAGTGAATCAATATTTTTGCAATTTCAGGCGGCTAGCCGATAGCTAACTCAACAATGTTCAAGAAAATAAAGGTTAAAACCCGTTGAACTCCAAGATCAAAATTTGAATTATTATTTGTTGCTTCCATTCATGTCCTACAGAAGTAGTGGGAAGAAGATGATAAAATATCAAGCAAATTTTTCTTGTGTGATCATGTCCGTTATTCCCATGAACACTCTGATTTACAAAGCATTGATATTACAAGAAGAAACTTGATGCTAATCACTCTAGGATTAAAGGGTTAAAGAGATCTAGCAAATTGTTACTTGCAGGAAAAAATGAAAAACTGCCGGTAAAGCATCATGGCTAATCAAGTCGCCTTAAATTTCTAAGACAAAACGACAACAGCGCAGTCCTCTCCTCTTTATAAAGGAAACAGAAAAATGACCGATTTAATGCAGCATTTGGTGTTTGTCAGGGTTGCCTGCTTTCTCCCTTCCTTATAAACTTCCTTTTGAAGGGGATAATGCCTGACCCCTGTGAGAATCATGTCTAATGTCAGTATTGGAAAAGTAAAAAATCAGGGATTTATTTATTTAGTGATTTTTTCCTTCTTCCCGTCGAAGGTATTTATGGCAAAGCAGTAAATGAGTATGGCTTGTAAGCATGGGGAGTCGCGCATCATCATTTAGCCTCTGCTGCCAATGGCGTTGAAATCAGAGTTGAAAAACCTTTAAAACTAATCATAACCGCCAGCAATAGAATTAACTCACAGATTAAATTCAGAGAGTACAAGCGTAAGTCATTTGCAATAAGACAGACGACGAATGGTTCATCCAAAGGAGACTTGCCAAAAATAGCACGAGCAAGCACTTTTTATCCAAAATCATCCACCTGCCAATCACCGTACGCGTGAGCCGAAAGTGAAAGAAGAAAGGGTAAACAAAAAAATTAAGGTGGATTGATGATGTTAAATGCGATTGAGGTAGCCGGAACAAACAAGAAAAATGATCTGTTTTCTTTTAATAGTGTTTAATTTTAATGCATGTCAATGAGGTTTGTACTAATACTGGCTATTTTAGCTCATGAAAGGTAATCCCTATCAGGACGGAATTTGTCCCTATTCAACTCTACTGACTTAGCACATTTTCGCCCCAAGTTAGGGAATCCAGATTCGAATAATTTTGCTTATGGAATCCGCAATCCCACTAAGGATTAGAATGATTACGGAGTACTATCTTTACATGTTCTTGATGCTAATTCTCGCGGCAAAGTTCTGCACTGACTGTAGAACCACTGTCATTTCATTATTAAAGACTAAGGCATTTATTACCGTCACGAGCTGATTACGATCTAAAACATGTTTAACGCGACTTATTTGCGCAGGACTTGACACACAAGATGAGGTAGTTTTTAAAACATGGTTGTCAAAAGTAAGTTGCGAGTGTGGAACAACACAAGGTCTTTGGCCGAGTATGCAAGAGTTAGATCTTTCGAATCGATCAATGGACAAACCCAAGAGCCATCAGAGTCATGATTGGGCCCCTTCCATATCACAGCGAATTTTAAGCTAGTTATAATAAAGTTCAAGGGCAAAAATATGCTGAAGGGCATTATTACCTAATTATAGAGAAATTCAGCGGTAAAAAATGATAGGTAAAATAACTTTTAATTCTTTTTGAAATAAAGTGTACTTATTAATAAGCTGGTTTCGTCTGACAAGCTTAAATGTGCTGTGTCACGAAATTCAGCCAAATTAGGTAATTACAAAATGCCCGTTAAATTAGGAGAAACGGGAAAATAACCGCTTAAAACATTAAAGGAAGGTTAAAGTAACACAACAGATGCAACAGATGCCACGGATGGGCAAAACTGAAGAAGATTTAAACGGACTGAAATTAGGGTTTTTGAAAACTGTTCAGCCTAACAGCTTTTCAAAGTTGATCTCTGCTGTTTGCAACTTCAAAAATAATGCCCAGGAGACATACTTGTTTGTCTGGAATCTCTGCTTGTCTCTGTTTACATGTAATTTCTTTGCCTACTTTAAGTTCCATAGCGATTGTGGGCGAATAACTGGCAAAATTGAACAAAATGAACTGACTACTGTGACACAGCCCCTTAAAAGGGCCAATCTGTCAGTATAACTTTAGTTAAGGCTTGAGGTGGGAACTGCCTTAACTGGGGACTATACCTCAACAATTCTAGCAAGAAACGACACTTAATCTAAACAATCTTCTCTTCGTTAAAATAAACCATTTTTCTGATAAGGTGGAGATGTAATGAGCAGAAAATTAATCAAAAAATCAACTGTCAGAAGAGTTTTGTTTGTTTTCTTTGTAGTGAACTGCGTCCTTAACCTTATAATAATAATAATAACAACGTGACAAATGTATATGAAATGAATTATATATGAATCATATAAAATCCTGGTAAAAACGACCAAAAGTCGAGCTCTAATGACTTTTGAGCTCAAATAGCTCAGACCAAAACTACTTTCAATATAATTACAAACAACTGAGGATTCACTGAGAGGTTTCCAAAACATGCGATTGAGGTAGCCGGAACAAACAAGAAAAATGATCTGTTTTCTTTTAATAGTGTTTAATTTTAATGCATGTCAATGAGGTTTGTACTAATACTGGCTATTTTAGCTCGTGAAAGGTAATCCCTATCAAGACGAAATTTGTCCCTATTCAACTCTACTGACTTAGCACATTTTCGCCCCAAGTTAGGGAATTCGGATTTCTGAATCTAGGAAATTGTCTTTTGGAATCCGCAATCCCACGTCACTAAGGATTGGAATGATTATAGAATACTATCTTAACATGTTCTTGATGCTATTTAAAAAGGAAGTAATCAATTTAATTTTTGAGGCAAAATCTAAAAGTTTGAATCGATTTTGCGGCTTTAAGAGTACTGTCTAAATTTTCCATTAATGTGCACCACGCTGTACTAAAAAGACCTCTGAATGGCTCTTGACTTCAACATAATATAGGACGTTTTCGTTTTACACGCCATGCAGCCATGACAGCGTCCCGGAAAAACAGATGTTTAATTTTATACGGGGGTTATGTGACCATTCCAGGTTTCTGAAATAATTCTCGCCGCAAAGTTCTGCACTGACTGTAGTCTAGAGATATTTTTGTTCGATGTATTTGACCACATGGTAGAACAGCACTGTCATTTCATTATTAAAGACTAAGGCATTCATTACCGTCACGAGCTGATTACGATCTAAAGCATGTTTAACGCGACTTATTTGCGCAGGACTTGACACACAAGATGAGGTAGTTTTTAAAACATGGTCATCAAAAGTAAGTTGCGGGGTGTGGAACAACACAAGGTCTTTGGCCGAGTATGCAAGAGTTAGATCTTTCGAATCTATCGATGGACAAACCCAAGAGCCATCAGAGTCATGATTGTGCCCCTTCTATATCACGGGGAATTTTAAGCTGGTTATGAATAAAGTTCAAGGGCAAAAATATGCTGAAGGGCATCATTACCTAATTATAGAGAAATTCAGCGGTAAAGAATGATAGGTAAAATAACTTTTAATTCTTTTTGAAATAAAGTGTACTTATTAATAAGCTGGTTTCGCCTGACAAGCTTAAGGGCCAATCTGTCAGTATAACTTTAGTTAAGGCTTGAAGTGGGAGCTGCCTTAACTGGGGACTATACCTTAACAATTCTAGCAAAAAACGACACTTCATCTAAACAATCTTCTCTTCGTTAAAATAAACCATTTTCTGATAAGGTGGAGATGTAAATGCGCAGAAAATTAATCAAAAAATCAACTGTCAGAAGAGTTTTGTTTGTTTTCTTTGTAGTGAACTGCGTCGACGTCCTTAACCTTATTCCAGCAATGCACTGAAATCAGCTTAATCGTTCACAGGTGCCACAGCTGGCTTGACGTCACATGTCTTTTGATGCATTCGCTTTTTGCCTAAGACGCTATATATAATACGCCGATACGCAAAGAGAGCTTATACAGTTTAGCAAGAGACACTTAGTAGAACGTTGTACGCTGTTTGGACTTGATTTACAATAACTAAGGTAAGATTACAGTTCTCATTCACTAGCTTGTTTATTATGAAGAAAATTCCCAGAAATCAGGTTATATCTTAAAGATGTTGAATTTGGAACAAAGTTCTTTTTGATTCCCAAACGTTAAAGCTATCTTTGATACTCCCGCATCTGCCGAGCTTTGTAGTGTTTATTTCATTTAGTGTCCTTAATATGTAAGATTGAACAAAGAAATGCCTTGATCTTAGCCATTTTAAATGAAAATCTAGCCGTTATTTTTTTATCTGACGTTGTTCAAAAGTGCTTTCAAAGTGCTTTTGAAAAAAGATGACATTGTCCCTATGAGATCCATACACGTCATCGTGAGGTTAAAATCGAACTAGCTTCAAAATAGCATTGACAATTGACCTGTTAAAAGCATTTTAACTAAGAAAAAATATTATATTGCGACAAAATGCTTTTGTACGAAGATCTGGTCCACGCACGTTTTATAACGCTGATACTTTTCATCCTTCCAACACCTCCCCCCACCCCCCCTTCGACTAACTGGCTACTCGTAAAGTCTGGCTTCTCTTTTATTTTTTTTCTGCTAAAAAAACTGTGCTTTTTCACAACTTAATTTATTTAACTTAATTTTATGGAAGTCATTTATCGAATCGCCTACATCTTTCGCCGAGTAACCAATTATAATTGTGCGCAGTTCTCGGTGAAGCACTTTTCAATTGACCGAGAAGTTGGCAAAAGTCTCTAACAAGATGCCTTCTTCTTCAGGCTTTTGATTTTTTTTTGTACATAGTTTAGCATTTCGAACAGCTAATTTATTGGATTCAGTTCTTATTTCACCCAAAGCCTTAAACGCTTCAAGGCCTCAAACTTCCCCACTAGTCATTTCTTTTTAGGATTTCGGCAACCGCAACGCGCGAGGAAAAAATGGCTGTTTTTATACTGGAGGACGCTTATCCGTGTGGACGGATAATACGTCTATGGCCGTTTTTATACTAAGGACGCATTATCCGACGGACGAACTTGGGCAAACATTAGTAGTTCGTCTGGTTATATGCGTCTCAAGTATAAAGACGGACACAAGACGCATTATGCGTCTGGACGAACTTTCCTTCGAAATACGTCTTGAACTACGCACTACGAAGGGTAGTTCGTCTGGACGCATAACAGTGCGTCTTGTACCCGTCTTTATACTAGAGATACATAGCCCAGACGAACAACAAAATGTTTGCCCAAGTTTGTCCAGATGGATAATGCATCCTTAGTATACAAACGGCCAATGAGAAAGAAAACATTTCCTATTTACCTGCCCCTCACCCCCTGGGGTGCGGGGAACAAGCGCGGGATACAGGAAAAATGAAAACTTGTGTACAAAACCTAAATTGAACCCTGGTAACTTCGTTTCCAATTCTTTGTTTATTTTTCTCCCATTTTTCGTTTTCTCCTTCACCCCGTACTCGTTCCCCTCCCCCGTTCCGCGTTTATTTTTACTACCTTTCGAAAATGATATGGTCTAAGATTAAAAGGAACGATTCCAGTTTACTCCACGATGGCTCGTAGGGACTAAACGCTTCCCAGAATCCAAAACACTCTTGGATTCTGCATGGGAAGTGTTTCGGATTCTGGGAAGTGTTTTGGTTTCTGGGAAGTGTTTTTGGATTCTGGGAAGTGTTTCGGATTCCCGGAAGTGTTTTAGATTCTCGGAAGTGTTTTGTCCCTATGAGGCACGGTATTACTCAATATAGACTCATAAATATTCTGCTTATAAAATTGGCTTTCCAGTCGCAGTTGCTATTGATGACTCTGTTTCTTTACGTCGCCGATAATTATTTTTAATAGGAAAATTGTAAAAACTAAATTAACCGAAATTCATACTGGTAGTCTTTACACTAGAGCCTAAATAAGCTAAGAAATATTTCAAGACAAGTAAATTTTAATTACTTCAACTAGAATAAGAAACTTCACACATAACCGATGAGACACAACATAATTAAGATTGACTGACATGTTTTGCCGTTCTCAAAGCTCAAGAAACCGCAAGTCAGTCAAGTCGGTCATAAGGATGGTTTTCAAATCACTTGAAACTTTGTTGAATCGTTTGAACTTTCCTGCTTTAATGAGATGCAAAGTAAAGTTGCTTGAGATTTTACTTGGGCCTTCACACACCCATTTTTGGTCAAGTGAAACTTAGCAGCTTTTAAGTTTTACTTAATAGCCTAATGTAAAGACAACCACTTACGTTTTCAGACCTGTGGTTTTAATGAAAGCAAACAAAAGACGAATGTATTTTATGCATCAGTAACCTTAATTGATGAGGAAATCGTTAACTTCCTTGTTGAACCACAGACTTCAGCCAGAGAATAGCTTGCTTGAGCAAATACTGTCAGTAAAAAATAAATGTTCGATCGGTGAGTCGCCAATCCTAAGTTTGATTTTGAGTTGGATTTGTAACAAAGCGAAGGCAGTTTCTTCTTTCGAATTCAAATACAGTTTCTTTACTATGCTGAATTTACTTGTGTTCCTTGGTATTTCATTCCTTCAGTGTTTCATTAGTGTTGCGCGATTAAGCTTAGCACTACTTAAAACTCAAGGGTGTCGTGATTCATTGGACTCACTGGCGGCGTGATACGCGTATAGCCGTTGCAATTTCTCGCCAAAAGAATCCAACGGGCAAATGCGACGACTTTACACGCATGCTGCCTGAATGACTACACTCTTAATCTTGCTCCAATACGAATTTGAGACGAAGAAAATTCACTTCTTAGTTGCTGATTTTGAGGAAAGGAAAGACAACGTAACTTCTATATAACGAACGATTTTCTTTACCGCAGTAATAGTAAAATATATGAAGAAGAACATCGATATAACGAAACCTCTTTATAGTGAACAAATGTTGCCAGTCCCTTAACACTTCATTATAATCGAGATTCCAGTGTATTATTTCCTTAGTCGGATGTCAGGAAGCATGGGCTAAGCCAAAAATGCTGTTCTCTCATTTCCTTGCTAATTTAATCTTTCTTGCGCAACAGGTGTGTCCAGGACGATGGTAATACGTTAAGAGTTTTTGTCTATCCAACCACTTCAGTATCCTTGCTAACAAACGAAGTTTTAGATTTACCTTTTTTGGTTAGCCTCGTGCGAATTTGACATGTAAAAATTATCACACTTGGCAACTACAACGAATTCCATGATTTGTAATGGCATTTGCGATGAAAATTATTCATGAATGTTCTTTTTTTTCTTTTTTAATCTGATTGGTTCGATTTTCCATACATCCTCGGAACTTTAAGAACGCAGAATAAGTCAGAATCGCCAGTGCCGTTAATTGTCGTCCTCGTTCAAACTGTCCGGTGGCCCGACAGTACAAGATGCTGACGGGCCGGTGAAGTAGTACCTGAGGCTTTATCATCTATCGAAGAAATTCCCGATAAAAATAGCACCCATAAATAATCGATGATTATTTCGACACGTGCACGTCGTAGTTTCTACGCGGAACAGTTTTATAAGAACATTAACCCACAATAAGTCGGCAATAAGATTTTCGGATTTTCGATGGTTACAACTCATATACTGCAGGCTGTAACTGCAATAAAATCGAATTTTACTTCAAGTACATGGCATAGTTATATATGCCCAGATCGTAACTTCAAAAATTTGTGGGTAACTGGGATGATCTTCTGAAAAGCTTTATTCATCATACCTCACAAGTAATAGAGATTTACATAACGATAATTTCAACGTTGTCCTTCAAGGGTGTGACGTGCCGACTAACTGACCAGACCTCACTTGGCTTTTTAGTTTACTTTATTTGAGTACTGAAACGGTATCATAGAGGTCATAGCTTCGAATCCAGGACAGCTTAGACGTTTCAGGCTTTCTCTTTGTAACAGCTGCAACTGGTTGATCTTTTATGGTGTCGATCAGTCTTAAAGGTTGATTTCCACCGACGCGTTTTTGGCTACGCACGTTAACGCCCTTAAATTTTAATTAAGTAAATAAAATAGAGGCAAAATATAAAGAGTTGAAATTAATTGAGCTAGGTTCTACTTTTACGCTTACGTGCGACCTTTCATACATTGCTAGTATATTTTACGCAACAGTGGAAATCACATTTCCACTGTTGCATAATTTTTACGTGCGTACGTGCATAAAATTTACGTTCGCAAATAAAATATAGGCAATGCAAGAAAGGTCGCTCGTAAGTGTAAAAGTTGAACCTCGCTCAACTTCGCGTTTGATCTTAACACTTTTTATCTTGCCTCTATTTTATTTACGTGATTAAAATTTACGTGCGTTAACGTGCGTAGCCAAAAACGCGTCGGTGGAAATCAACCTTTACACTATTCTAATTCATCATCCCGTAGTTCTAATATATGATATTCATACCTTCGCTAAACTTCTAGTTACCACTCTGTAAACCATATATGGGCCAATACTTTGTACCCATTTATAGCACAAAGAGATCTTATGCAGCTAGCCAATTTCAAAAAACGCTGCAGGATAAAAAAATGCTTACCACGCAAACTACTGAGGCGTAACCAGTATTAACCCTTAAAATTTTAAAGAAGGGGTTTTATCTCTTCGAAATGAGTTTCAGACTGAATATTGCAAGTTAGACAGTAAATTGTACTGAGTCGTTCGTATTTCAAGATTCAAGAAACGAATAGAAATGTCATTGGAAGTTTTGATTAATTGGTTTGCAGTCACTTGACAAGGCGGCCATGTTGGGGGTCAATACAATAGAATTTTGTTTTCGAAGAATTTACATAAAAAAGAGTTGTTTTCCTAGAGGAGAGAAATCCTTTTGTTCTTGACCACCAACATGCATGGCTGCAACTAACCACTAACTGTCAGTTTCGTAATTTCCGCTTCCTCATACCAATGCGCTGAAACCGCGTTTCCACGGTTATCAGGTACGTCACGTATTGAATCTTTATATATTAAACACCCTATATACAGTACCATTACATTTAAAGAGAATTAAGACAGCTTGGTTGAGAACACTGGGGGCCGTTCTTTGGACTTTTGCAAACATTAAGGCGGCGGTAAGACTTATGTTTCCGTACTTACGACGTCAAATCAGTGTTTTTTCTGGATTGTTACTAATGAAATTTTCTGGATCATTACTAATAATGTTACTCCCATGTCACCTTGCTCGTATTATTAGATTTAAGCGCAGCTTTTGACACGATACATCATGATAAGCTGATTGGTCGTCTTGAGTCTCATTTGGGAATAACTGACAATGCGCTTGCCTGGTTTAAATCGTATCTATATGACCAGTTCTAGCGTGTCTCTATAAATGGTAGTCTCTCCGATCAGTTTCCTTTAAAACAAGGTGCTCCTCAAGGGTCATTTTTGGGCCCTTGCTTTTCGCTATCTACACGCGCAAACTGTTTCAGATCGTTGAACGCCACCTCCCAAAAGTTCACTGCTACGCGGACGATACACAGTTGTATGTATCATTCAGCCCCAATCGCAAGTATTTGTCTCGAGAATCAACGGAAATGCTTGTCTATGCATTTATTTCATCTCGTATTGATTATTGCAACAGTCTTTTGTATGGGCTGCCCAACTACCAGCTTAACAAATTGCAGAGAGTTTTGAACGCCGCTCAGCCAGGCTAGTTTGTAATGCGCCTAGGTTTTGCCACATCTAGCCCCACCCCTTCTTTGTGGTTTGCATTGGCTTCCTGTTAACGCCCTGATACANCAAATAAAATATAGGCAATGCAAGAAAGGTCGCTCGTAAGTGTAAAAGTTGAACCTCGCTCAACTTCGCGTTTGATCTTAACACTTTTTATCTTGCCTCTATTTTATTTACGTGATTAAAATTTACGTGCGTTAACGTGCGTAGCCAAAAACGCGTCGGTGGAAATCAACCTTTACACTATTCTAATTCATCATCCCGTAGTTCTAATATATGATATTCATACCTTCGCTAAACTTCTAGTTACCACTCTGTAAACCATATATGGGCCAATACTTTGTACCCATTTATAGCACAAAGAGATCTTATGCAGCTAGCCAATTTCAAAAAACGCTGCAGGATAAAAAAATGCTTACCACGCAAACTACTGAGGCGTAACCAGTATTAACCCTTAAAATTTTAAAGAAGGGGTTTTATCTCTTCGAAATGAGTTTCAGACTGAATATTGCAAGTTAGACAGTAAATTGTACTGAGTCGTTCGTATTTCAAGATTCAAGAAACGAATAGAAATGTCATTGGAAGTTTTGATTAATTGGTTTGCAGTCACTTGACAAGGCGGCCATGTTGGGGGTCAATACAATAGAATTTTGTTTTCGAAGAATTTACATAAAAAAGAGTTGTTTTCCTAGAGGAGAGAAATCCTTTTGTTCTTGACCACCAACATGCATGGCTGCAACTAACCACTAACTGTCAGTTTCGTAATTTCCGCTTCCTCATACCAATGCGCTGAAACCGCGTTTCCACGGTTATCAGGTACGTCACGTATTGAATCTTTATATATTAAACACCCTATATACAGTACCATTACATTTAAAGAGAATTAAGACAGCTTGGTTGAGAACACTGGGGGCCGTTCTTTGGACTTTTGCAAACATTAAGGCGGCGGTAAGACTTATGTTTCCGTACTTACGACGTCAAATCAGTGTTTTTTCTGGATTGTTACTAATGAAATTTTCTGGATCATTACTAATAATGTTACTCCCATGTCACCTTGCTCGTATTATTAGATTTAAGCGCAGCTTTTGACACGATACATCATGATAAGCTGATTGGTCGTCTTGAGTCTCATTTGGGAATAACTGACAATGCGCTTGCCTGGTTTAAATCGTATCTATATGACCAGTTCTAGCGTGTCTCTATAAATGGTAGTCTCTCCGATCAGTTTCCTTTAAAACAAGGTGCTCCTCAAGGGTCATTTTTGGGCCCTTGCTTTTCGCTATCTACACGCGCAAACTGTTTCAGATCGTTGAACGCCACCTCCCAAAAGTTCACTGCTACGCGGACGATACACAGTTGTATGTATCATTCAGCCCCAATCGCAAGTATTTGTCTCGAGAATCAACGGAAATGCTTGTCTATGCATTTATTTCATCTCGTATTGATTATTGCAACAGTCTTTTGTATGGGCTGCCCAACTACCAGCTTAACAAATTGCAGAGAGTTTTGAACGCCGCTCAGCCAGGCTAGTTTGTAATGCGCCTAGGTTTTGCCACATCTAGCCCCACCCCTTCTTTGTGGTTTGCATTGGCTTCCTGTTAACGCCCTGATACAATTTAAGATACTGCTTATTACGTTTAAAGCAGTTCAGGGCCTTGCTCCTAAATATCTATGCGATTTACTAACATTTAAATCGTCTTTATATAACCTTAGATCTTCAGGTAGTATTTTACTTTCTATGCCAGCCGTTAGATCGAAGAATACGTTAGGTGATAGATCTTAGTGTCGTATCGTTCAATGACGTCACGATTCCCGCCTTTTGCTTTTGTTGAATTGGTTTCTCCATATAATAAAAATAATATTACACGTTGGCTCGAAGATATGAATTTTATGTTCTCGTGGCAAGAACAATATCTCACTCGTTCGCTTCGCTCACTCGTGAGATATTGTTCTTGCCACTCGAACATAAAATTCATATCTTCTCGCCACCGTGTAATATCCTCTAT